TGCAGCTTGTAAGCTGGTGAGGTCTGAGTTGCCGGACCTCTGTCCTGCTGCAGATCTGGGTGTCCACATCTTCTCCTCACTGCTTGGTAGTCGCTTGGAATCCACCACGTTGAGGGCCAGACTCATCCCGCCCACTCAGCAGAGGCGTGCTGCTGCAGCATTTCCTGCACTGGGCAGTATGGCACTGCCGGGTCAGTTATGCGAACCTGAATCCAGGGAGGTCCTAGTGTCTTCTTTCTTATTCCCCACATCCCGTCCAGTCCTATAGAGAGCCCTTCCTGTTCCTTGTCTTTGCCAGGAAGTTTATATTTGCAATCCCATGGATAAGTTATTAGAATCCTGTCCTTTATTGTAATCTACCACCTTTAGTCCGACTCACAGTGAGAATAAAGGCACTAAGGCATCTTTGTAGTTATGGGGAGCCAGGGGGGCTAAGTCCATCCACGGTGATAGCTAACCAGAACAGAGGCCTTGACCCAGGGCCCAACTGGGTTTTAGTCATTCATCGACAAAGGAGTGGCTTGAGGATGAGTGAGTGTGAGAAGGGCGGGAAGAATGGCACCAAGTGAGTGCCATCACTGGGCCAGGGCGGAGGCCTGCATTTACCCTGCAGTGTGCGCAGAGAAGGCTGTGCAGAGGGAGTAATTGCGCAACACGACTGGGATGGCACGTCATGTGCTAGAGCGTGGCTCTTTGTCCCGGGTGGGAGTTCTGGGGAGACAGGCCTGCCGTCTTCAGAGACTACCACCAGCACCTGGCTAGGCCAGCATGCATTGCTTAAAGCCAAGTGAGGGCATAAGAAAAAGCCAGCCCTGTACATATGAATACGTGCCAGTAGGCTCAGGCGCAGCCAATGTGGACAGGACTGTCCTGCTTTCAAACGGAGTTGCCCAGGTGGCCCCTCACACAGTGCTGTGATTTGTATCTTTGGAGTTTGTGTGTAACTTGGCCTCTTGTTTCCAGTGCTTCAGGTCTTTCATTCATCTGCCAGAGAAACTTTCTTACGTTCTTTTCTTGATAATCATCAGCCCTGTGCTCTTGCCCTCCTTCAGTCCATTTCCTGTGAGTTATCAGTGTTTGCCTTGTACAAATGCACACTTCTTAACAGGATATACCATAGACCGAGATTTACCCAGCCTCACCCACAGTTTTTCACAGATTTTGATGATGAGTTCTTCGCCTGAGCTCTCCGTTGTTCTGGTCATACTGCCTGAGTCTGCTTACCCGGCAGCCTCGCATTTGTCCTTCGGAAGGCGTCTCTAGAAGTGAAGCTCTTC